TTATTACCATTCGTATAAACTGGTTAAAAAGGATTGATTTATTAACGGTATGCATTTTTCGTTTATATTTTAATTTCTAATTTCGTTTATGCAAGTTATGGTATGAAGAATCAGCCCAAATTTGTTTCGCTGCATTAATGTTCAACATCTCTACCATTAATATTTTTTTATTACCATTTTTGTATACGTGTTAAAAATGTACATTATTCTATACGTATTTTCCTATTTTTATTACTCTATACCTATTTTTATTACTCTATACGTATTTTTATTACCGTTTTTAATTACCATTTTTAAATGAAATAAGTTATTAGATATTATCACATATATATATTAGTAAATATAATTAAATACTATTATTACCATTCGTATAAACTGGTTAAAAAAGATTGATTTATTAACGGTAAGTGTAATTATGTTTGAATATTTTATTATTACTTACTTTTTTACAATTAGAACACTCGTTTGAATATTTTATTATTACTTTAAATATTTTATTATTACTTACCTTTTACAATTAGAACACCTAAGAAATTGAATATTTTATTATTACTTTAAATTACTTACTATTTTAAATGAGTAATTACTTAATTACGGTAACTCCATTAATGACCCGTGTAATTTCATTTTAATTGAGTAATTACCATTTGAAAAACAATTACCATTTTTGGTGGAAGACCAAATGGGCGGGAAAACAAAATTGAAAATCCATGTCTTTTTAAATAAAGTATGGATGATTATTCTAATATATGAATTAACTAATTTTATTTTATTAAAAAATAATCATTAACAAAAAATATTGATTATATTTTAATATGAATTATCATTACAATTTTCAAACGTTATTATAAAGTCAAATCAAATAATTGATTTGAATTTTTAATCTAATCATAATTAATATCAAATCAGATTCCAACATACCAGAACTTATCCGCTAACAAAACCCTATCTCTCTTCTTAACCTCTCTCTCGTCGATTAAGGTCAGAAGAAAAAAGTTCGCCACTTCGCCGTTCCTTCATGCCTGGAGCCAGAGCCGTCGATCCTCGTAGTTCCTATCTTCTTCGTCGCCATCGAGATACCTCGACACCGGGCAGTGGTCTTCCGATCCTCATAGAGTACCACGATTTCGCTCCATCCCACTTACCGACGGTGCATACGCCTGCCTCAGCCGCCGTGTGAAGCCAACATCACAACCCCAATCTCTACTGCCTCCAATTTACAGGTTTTACTTTATCTTGAAAATACTCTAATGGTTCAATTATGTGAATTTCTTTGCATATCTCTTGAAAATACTCTAAATTCTTCAATTATGTGGATGAAATTATTCTAATTATTCAATTATATGTATTTATTTACTTAATTTTTGTTACCTCAATTTGATTTTTGATTTTCTTTTTATTGATATACTTTTAGATCAGTCTTTTAATAAATTTTTTTATCTAAAAAATATGAAAGAATCAAAATTATTTTTTACTAGTTTTTATTGTTCACACCTAATAGTTTTACAGTAGGTTTAAAAAACATATTATGAAAATTTTATTTGAGAGCTCGATGTTGATTTTTGATTCTCCAAGAAGGGAAATTTTATTTCTCATTAAAAAAATACTCCATTTTAATGAAGGGAAAACAAGAGACGATGAAGCAGGCCAAAGAAATGCTTTCTTCTTTTCAATGGGAAGTAAAAAAATGTGAAAAGTTAGAAAGAGTTTTTTTTTAAAAAAATTGTAGTTATACACGAAAAAAAGTTAAAAGAAATTGAAATGATTTGAAATAGTTAAAATATGTTAATGTTAGAAAATATCAAAGAAATTGATGAAATTAAATAGGCTGGGAGTTAAGAAATGTAAGTTACATTAAGAAATTGAAAATATAGGGGAACAATATTGGAGAATCGAGGAAGAAAGAAGAGTATCTGTGTTTCCCTGAACATTATTGTGCATGTTATTCTTTCTTTTACGACATTGTCAACAGAGGGGAACAACTCTGCTGTAAGCATCAAGTTGCAGCAAGACTTGCTGATGCGCTGGGAGAATGTGTTGATGTAATGGTGTCCGATGAGGAACTTGCGTTCATGCTTTCTCATCTTTGATGGAGGAGCAGTTATTTGGAGTCAATTTTTCCAGAAAACAATGGAGGAAGACATCAACTAAGGTTTTTAATTATTTAAGCATGTTTCAATAATAAAAGCTACATCTCCTTGCCTAATGAATCTGTATTAGCTACCCTCTTGTGGACAGTTGTGGTAGGTCAAATGCCATTTCTTCTTACCTCTTTTAGTCTTTTTAGTACACCCTTTGGGTATGATTTTGCCACTTGCCACCCCTCGACTATCAAATATGCTCCATATTCCAAAAATAAGCTTTTCAATTTATTATACCGAAGCAAGACTAAAAATTTGTATGTATGTATGTATGTATGTATGTATGCATGCATGCATGCATGTATGTATGTATTTCTTGTAACATCCTCTTTAGTCAAGGTAAGTTTATATTGTGAATTTTATGGTTTCTCGCTTTCCAGATTACATAGCATCTTGCATGAATGGGTAGAGCAATAGCCTTCCTATTTTTTCTATTAGTACCCTTTTTCATTCTGGTCTTCAATTCAGCAATAGTGTTAGCTGCGATATCATATCTATACTAGTCTTTGATTAAAGCATAGATTTTCTTAGAGTAGGGACACCTGTAGAATAAATGGTCTTGTGGTTTCCTCTTTCTTGCCACACATTGAACATTGGGCATCCATTTGAATAAATTTTCCCCGTCTAGACTTAGTCATTATTCTTCCCTTCTAGATAAGCCATGAAATAAAATAGTGTTTGGGTATAGACCAGTTGCACTAGACTAGAGGGGACCAGTTTTATTTAGTCTCAGGCTCCTTGAAACTATTAGCCATTTCTAGCCCTCTTTGATGGAATAGATAGCATTAGGGTGCATAAAGAGATTTCTAACTTGGATAAGTTTTTTCGAGTAGAAACAACTATTCTATTTAAGTGTGTACTCTCAAATGGTTTTCCCTTTGAGGTGCTTGACATAAACCTATTTTAACCATATTATTTTGTTATTAGCCACACTCCAAATAAGTCTTAGGCAGCAAGCTTTGTTCCAATTGACTAGATTTTTTAGACCCATGCCCCCCCTTTTTTTTGAAACAAAGCCCACCTACTATTGTTTCAAAAAAAGCCCCCTTTCTTTTTATTCATACAAACATCTAAAATATCTTGTGTTCATCAATATTTATTACTCCCTCCGTCTCACAAAAAGTTCCCATTTTGAATAGTATTTAGGCTCTGCTCCGTTCAACTTATTTTTTCTGATCAGATCTGATTTTTTGTAGTTCTGATCCGACCTGGTCTGATCTGATTGGATCTGATCTGATCGGGTCTGATCTGGTCTGATCTGGTCTGATCTGATTGGATCTGATCTGATTAATTATGATTTGATTTAAAATTCAAATTATAATGATAATTCATATTATAATATAATCAATATTTTTCATTTTATGATTTTTTAATAAAGTAAAATTACGTAATTCATATATTAGATTAATCATTCATATTATCATGTAATAATATTTTTTATCTTATGAATATTTTTTTGTGAAATTAGAATATTAATTTCATATTTTAATAATTACTTCATATATACATTAGAATAAATATTTAATTTATATATGTTAAAAAGTAATTAAATTTAGATAATCATTATATAGAAGAGATTTTATTTTTATTAAAATATCTCATCCTTATGAAATATCAAAACGTTAGAAACTCAAATTAAAAGTAGCAATAAAAATGTATTTTAAAAGTAGAATTAGATTAAAATTGTCAATGTATTTTAAAAATAATTTTTATGACGTCTATTAATTAAGGATTACTTTCTCAGTTTTCTATTTAATTTGTTTCTAAAGTTTATTCTTTTTCATTTTTAATAATAATAATAATAATAATAATAATTATTATTATTATTATTATTATTATAATATATATATATATAATAATAATAATAATAATAATAATAATAATAATAATAATAATAATAATAATTATTATTATTCTTAAAAATGAAAAGAATAAGTTTGTTTTAAACTAGATTTTATTTTAGAAGTTAAAGTTCGAAGGCAAGGCTCGAGTAAAAAATTTAAAAAAAAATACAAATTTAAACTACCCTCGGAGAAAATGTTACTCTGAGTTTGAGCTTTTTGATTAAGTTTGTTTTTTCAATATCGCTTTTATATTCTTTCATCTTAAAGTAATCGTTTAGTTTGATTTTGAAGAGTCAAATTAGATAAATTTTGATAACTAATTACATAAAATTTATATTACATATGAATATAATAAAATAACTTTTAAAAAATTATGTGCAAGATAAATCTAATAGAACTGATTTTGTAGTAATGTACACCATCCGTCCCAATTTAAACTACCAGTTTCGGTTTACAATGTTTCATTAAAATTCTTTTCAAATCATTTTATATGAAAAATTGTGTAGAATGAAAAAATAAAAATTAAATATTTAAAAACTAGATCAAAAGATTTACTACAAAACTAGTGGTTACATGACTATTATTTTATCAAATGAAAAAAAAGTGAATGTAATTTAATCATGTGAATAGTAAATAGATAATTTCATTTGGGATGGATGGAGTATAATATAATTTTTATATTATATATAGAGTAAGTCTAAATTGACTCCACTCCAATTGTTGTCAATTCGCGACACCAGATCAATTAGACACCTACGATTCTCTATTCGTAAAATTGATGATTCCTCACCCGCCTCCACCCCCAGCCCCTAACCCAAGTCCCCCTTCACCCCTTCCTTCCCTCAATAACTATTTTGGCAAAATTAATTCTGCCAAAATAGTAATTAAAGAAATGTGGGGCTGGTGCAAGGGGGGTTAGGTGTAGGAATCGTTAATTTTACGGCTAGAGTAGCATAGGTACTTCAATTGAACTGATGTCGTAATTGAATAGACGCTCTCATTTAAATGTGATATTCTATAAACAATATGTAATTGAAAATGAATAAATAAGTGAAATAGATTTTAAAAGCTCCCGACAGTGAAATATTTTTTAAAAAGCTCTCGTAGTTGCCAAAAACCGAAGTAATTGAGTGTTAATCTTCTCACATAAAAAATCTTCTTTTTTATTTAAAAAATGCTATTCTAGGTAGTAAATAAATTCTTATTTTGCTCATAGGTAAGTTCATAGTAGACCTTAGGTCTACCATAGAATTTGCCCCTTGTTACCCTTTACCTTACCAACTCTGTTAGGCTCTCGGTAGATTTTATTTTAAAAATTAAAGTTCGAAGGCAAGTCAATGCTCGAGTTAAGAAAAAATAAAACTAATTCACACATGAAGAAAATGTGTGAATAAGTCAAGTAACATATTCTTCCTGCGTCTCACAAAGTCTTTGTTTTGATTTTTAGAACATTAAAGGAAAAGATATTTTTGTCTTAACTTTTCCAAATTATTCTTGACGTGATGTATAAAAATATGATGCGATAAATAGATTATTAGTGAATAAGTATATATTATAGGTACAATAAAAAATAAGAAGAGTAAAGTGGTTTTTTTTATTAAAAGGAGAAAGGTATGATGAGACTAATTAAGAGAAATTGTCATATTTATATTTAGGGGCTGTTTGGCAACTTCTGAATGGGTAAGTGCTGAACCAGTAAGAGGTCTGAATCATTAAGTGTTAGAACCAGTAAGAGGTCTGAACCATTAAGAACTAGTATATTGCTTAACTATTCAGAGGCAAATGTCTGATCAATTCAGATAAGAGGTCTTAACCATTCAGACTCTGTATAATACTTAACCATTCAGACATCTGAACCATTAAGAGGCTGAAACAAACAGTCTGAACTATTAAGTGCTGAACCATTCAGACATCTGAACCATTAAGAGGCTGAAACAAACAGTCCCTTAGTGGCAGTCATTGGCAATGCTTGAAAACGATTATTGACAAAATAATACGAGTGAAATGAGGACTGGCCCATTTGGGATGATAGTGGCCGCTTGGAATATGATTGATAACAAATTCAATCTTATTATCTCTATATAGCTTATCTCTATATATATATGGACGAGACTTTATTTGCCTAGCTAGCTAGTATTATTTAATTTGCACATATTTTGAGATAGAAGATGAAAATGGGTTCTACTGCTGCTCATTATGAAGCATTGGCAAGCATAGTAATAATGCTATTATTAGCAATGGCCTTTGCTACCGACCCAAACCAGCTGCAAGATTTTTGCGTTGGAGTGGCCAGTCCCTTAAGAGGAGGTACGTACGTACACATATCCACATACCACCTTGATCATTTGGTAACAATTTTAGGGTTTTGAAAAACAATTTTTAGTTTTAACGTTTTCAAATTTAATTTACACCAATAAAAAAATTATCTAAAATGCTAACCGGCCTATAACTTAAAACGTTGTTCCCATAAAAAGGCCCTAATGAACTTCATACATGCATGTTTTTTGAAGCTCCACTTGTGAAATTGTTTGTTGATGAATTGATTCTTTGACACATGCCCATCTTTTCACGTACATATCTTAGAATCATACTCTCGCTCCCTCTAATAATAATTTTTTTCATTTTCTTTTTCACGTAGTTTAAGAAAAATGAAATTATTTTTTTGAGATGCTCATGATGAATGTAGTGTTTGTGAACGGGCGGTTCTGCAAGGACCCAATGGAAGTCACAGCAAGCGATTTTCTCTTCAGGGGTCTAAACATCCCACGGAACACAACCAACAGAGAAGGCTCAAACGTGACCCGCGTGGACGCGAACGCCTTCCCAGGCCTCAACACCCTAGGCATCTCCCTGGCCCGGATCGACCTCGCCCCGCGCGGGGGGCTCAACACCCCCCACCACCACCCCAGGGCCACGGAAGTCCTCACCGTACTCAAGGGCACCCTCTACGCCGGGTTCATAGCCTCCAACCCCCCGACAGGAGGCCCCAACCGGCTATTCCTCAGGGTGTTGGAGGAAGGGGACGTGTTCGTTTTCCCCCAGGGGATGGTACACTTTGAAATGAATCTGGGGAGTGGGCCCGGCGTCGCGCTTTCGGCTTTTAGTAGCCAGTCTCCGGGTGTGGTGACCGCTGCCGGTGCCGTGTTCGGGTCTAGACCATCTGTGTCCGTTGATGTGCTTAGCAAGGCCTTCCAGCTTGACCCAAAGACGGTTAAGGCTTTGCAAGCTAAGTTTCACAAGAGAGTAAATTAATAGACTTGATTACTTGTGGTTCATGTGTGTGTTAAATCATGTGTCATACATTTCTTGTACCTTGAGAGAACAAAACAATCTCGCACTTCTAAATAAATTTACTTTTTTTCATCCTGTTTTGCTAAATTCAGCCTAATGTGAATTTAACAAATTTATATAGAATGAGTCTCACTCCATTTGGCATTTGATACACGTAATTCAAGTTTTGGAATTGAAATTCGAGACTTTAATTCCAATTTTGTTATTTGATATCACAAAAGTGTATGGATTTGGAACTTAATTATAATTTTAATTAACTTTTCAAATTTCACAATTTCAATTCCAAAACACAACAAAAAAAATTGAATTCTACGAGTCCAAATAAAACCACGGTGATCCTTTTTGAATCATCACAAAGAAACAGATCTTATAAATTTACGGGATATAGGGAAAATAGTTTTTGGGCTGACTTTTGACGTCTTTTTTAGACTTTGATTTTGTTGACTAATCAAAGAAGTCAATTCAAAATTATAGACTAAAAATTAAAAATTAAAAATTAAAAAATTAAAAATCAAAAAATAATTAAAAACTAAAAATTTAAAAGTAAAAAAACCAAGAATATAAATTTATAGTTTAAAAATAAAAAAATAAAAATTTTAAACAATAGTGTGAATTTAAAAAATTTAAATAGAATTAGTAAATTTGGTAGTTTGTGATGGGGATTTAGGGGTTGTTTTTGGAAACATATTCAGTATTTTGGAAAAATTATGTAATGAAAGTGTTTGATAGTTTTAAAACTAATCTAAACTATTAAAACTAAACTTATCTAAATACTACTCCGTAACTGAAAGCGTGGTTTTTGAACAAGAAGAATGTAAAAGTATAATTACAATGAAGTCCTTAATCCTTATTCTAGTTTACACCCCGAATTCATAAACACGTTAGCCTATGGTGCTTCATATATACTACCACCATCCTAAAGTATTTGTTTGATTGATCTTTCCAAATTATATGGGCACCCCTAGATTATTATTAAAAGAAAAATTAAATTAAAATTGCAATAAAATTGATTTTATTAGATTAATCTTGTAGAAAATTTTTAAAAAAACTTTTTCATTATATTGATATTTAATATAAATTTATGTAGACGATAATTAAAATTTATTCAAATTGACTCCTCAAAATCAAACCAAAGGAATACTCTAAGAAAAAAGGGTTATAAAAGCAATAATGTAAAGAAACAAATTCATCAAAATTCAAAAAGCTTGACCTTTTAGTTGGAAGCTCAAAAGATGTCTTTTACACTCCATTCCTCCCACAAATTATTTCTTTTTTTTCCTGTCTCATCATACCTTTCTCATTTTTTTAAAAAATGCCACTTTACTCTTCTTATTTCTATGGTGAACTTAAGGTCTACTATGAACCTACATTTGAGCAAAATAAGAATTTATTTACTAGCTAGATAAGCATTTGTTTTTTTAAATAAAAAAGAAGATTTTTTATGTGAGAAGATTAATACTCGATTACTTCGATTTTTGGCAACTACGAGAGGTTTTTAAAAAATATTTCACTGTCGGGAGCTTTTAAAATCTATTTCACTTATTTATTCATTTTCAATTTCATATAGTTTATAGAATATCACATCTAAATGAGAGCATCTAGTCAATTACGACACCAGTTCAATTGAAGTACCTACGTTACTCTAGTCGTAAAATTAACGATTCCTACACTTAACGCCCTTGCACCGGCCCCACAATTCTTTAATTACTATTTTGGCAGAATTAGTTTTGCCTAAATAGTTATTGAGGGAAGGAAGGGGTGATGGGGGACTTGGGTTAGGGGCTGGGGGTGGAGGCGGGTGAGGAATCGTCAATTTTACGAATAGAGAATCGTAGGTGTTCAATTCATCTGGTGTCGCCAATTGACACCAATTGGAGTGGAGTCAATTTAGACTTACTCTATATATAATATAAAAAATACTATACTCCATCCATCTCAAATGAAATTGTCTGTTTACTATTCACATAATTAAATTTCTTTCACTTTTTTCTCTATTTTTGTTAGTCATTTGATAAAATAATATAGTCATGTCAGCACTACTTTTGTAGTAGATCATTTAATCTAGTTTTTAAATATTTAATTTTTATTTTTTCATTCTAAACAAAATTTCTATTTAATTTCTATATAAAATGATTTGAAAATAATTTCAATGAAACATTGTAAACCGAAACTAGTAATTTAAATTGGGACGGATTGAGTACATTACTACAAAATCGGTTCTATTAGATTTATCTTGCAAAAAAATTTTTAAAAGTTGTTTTATTATATTCATATGTAATATAAATTTTATGCAATTAGTTATCAAAATTTATCTAATTTGACTCTTCAAAATCAAACTAAACGATTACTTTAAGATGAAAGAATATAAAAGCGATATTGAAAAAAAATAAACTTAATCAAAAAGCTCGAACTCAGAGTAACATTTTCTTCGAGGGTAGTTTAAATTTGTACTTTTTAATTTTTTTTACTCGAGGCTTGACTTGCCTTCGAACTTTAACTTCTAAAATAAAATCTAGTTGATGATGTGATGTGATCCTAGGGGAAAAGTTTTACCTGGTCCTTGCGTCCACATTTGTTTTTACCATTCCACAAAATATTTATTTCCTTCGGTCCAAAAAAACATATTTGGTATATCTCTATCAATTAAAACATTTACTCCGTATTTACTTCTATTTATCGTGAATAACTAATTTACCTATCACATGATACCGATATTATTATTAATATACTAATCTCATCTTAGAGCATGGGTAGTGGCATGTCAAAGCCACTGCCACACATGCCAGTTCATCATTTTTACTTGTTTTCCATGGCAAAGCATCCCAATTCTCATTGCAAGTCGTGGCAAGCGCGAGCCGTTATTTTCCCTTTTTTGTTTTTTTTTTGTAAAAGAAAGAAGTTTTTTTATTTTATTGAGATTAGAGGCATTGTTTTCCATTTTTAACCATTTCTTTTTTTTCTTTACAATTTATTTTCTTTTTCAAAACAATCTAACCTTTATTTGAGACTAAAAAATATACATTTTAAACATTAATGTTTTATGTGAAATTATATAATTTAAATTAAAAAATTTTAAAATTTAATTTTCTCTTTGTACAATTTAAACTTTACAAGAAAATGTAATAATTTATAATAAAAAAGCACGCATGGGCTAATTAAAATATGTCAAAAATGTTAACATTTCCAAAAAAGATTACAATTTTTTTATTAAAATAAGGTAAGTAAAATAATTTCTGAAATTAAAATATATTAAAAAGGTATAAAAATGATAAAAATGATGACTTGCCGCTGCAAGACATGCCACTCCACTCATGTACGACACGCTAACTGGACAGATTTTGATTGGGTAAAATACTCCACGTCATCGTGTGGCATTCTATTTCTTACTTGTCATTGCTCATGCTCTTATGAAATACTCTGTAATATTTTTAACGAAAATGTCAGAAGTATTTTCCAATGAAAGAGTGCCCAAAATGTCAAAAGTTAAGAAAATGGAGTCCTTCAATCATTGCAAGTTTTCCGAAGGATGCCTATTTCTGAAATTATGGAGATTTAACCTAGTCACTTTGTGGGGAAAAAGGAACAGTGAGTCACTGACAACCAAATTTTTGAAGAAATTCTATAATTGGTCCTTTATAACAAGGGAATTTCCCTATTTAGTCCTCTATTATCAAATATTACCTAAGTGGTCTTTTTATGGCTACCTTTCCACAAATAGTCCTTTTTTTGATCTTCTATCATGTTGGTGTTAATTTGAGGGCTAAAAGTGTAATTTCACAATGATTATATATCTTTTTTGTCATACACAATTCCAAAGGCTGTTCCGTTTGCATCGTTTGTGAATTACAGTCACTTTTTTCGACAACTATAGTCTACAAATGTGATCTTTCGTCAGAATCCTAGCCCACAATCATAGTCATTATTTTTGTGTTATCCGCTTAACCAATATCAGAATACGTCACTAGACATAATGTTGACGTCAAATTATACTTTTAGCCTTTAAATTAACACCAACACGACATAAGATCAAAAAAGGACCATTTGTGGAAAGGTACCCTTAAAAAAGGACTACGGGAGTAATATTTGATAATAGAGGACTAAATATGGAAACCCCCCTGTTATAAAGGACCAATTATGGAATTTACTCTAAATTTTTTAACAACTTAAAGTAGGCATTGCAAAAGGAGTGATGAATTTGTTTACTCGCTCGCTTTTAAAGAGTTTATTAATCATCCACTTTTGATTTTATGATCTTTTTTTTTGAAATTCAAAATACAAAAAGAAAAAAAAATAAATTATGATATGAATTTAATATGAGTAGATTCATTTTGAAATGAATTTTGTAAAATATCATATTTTTATAATATATGTTCATGCACCATATAAAAACATATATTATATATTAGTGATCAACATTTCACAGAACCCTAATTATTATTATTTTCAGGACCAACCCTACTTCTAGCATATCTTTTATCTGTTCTAGAATATTTGTTTAGTTTACAATATTGACCCCAATTAAATAAAAATAGTATATGGTATATTAATTAGATAAAGATAATATTTTGAAAATATTTTACAATATAAATTCTAAAAAAATTGTTCTTGTAAAATAATCCCTCCGTCCCACAAAATCTTTCTAGTTTTGACTTTTAAAAGATTTAAAGTGAGTATATTTTTGAGTTTTCAAAAATGCACTTGGGATATGATGATTAAAAGTAGATTTGATATGTAGATTAATACTCCCTCCGTCTGGAAATAGTTATTCCCATTTGACATTTTACGGTCTCCAAGATGGCACTTTGACCACTAATATCTTTATTTATACATGGATATATTTTATAAAAATTTAATATTTGAAAACTATATTTCAAAATGAATATATTCATATTAAAGTTATATCATAATACAATGTATTTTTTCCACATATCATAATCAAAGTTTATAAATTTTGACCAAGAAAAGTCAAATGGGAAGAATATTTCTGGACGGAGGGAGTAGTGAAAAAGTGTGATGTAATATGTATGTTTAGAATTAGTAGGGGTAAAAGTAATTTTTTAATAAAAAGTCAAAACTGGACAGGGAGCTCAGGTAATATATATATATATATATATATATATATATATATATATATATATATATATATATATATATATATATATTGGGGGCTCCCATATGCTAGCTAGTGATCAATTCATCCCTCCTTTCCATTTCTTCACTATGCCTTCTTCAATAATGAGGATTATGATCAGTATTATTATTAACAATGGCGCAATAATGATAATAATAATGTCATTTGTGGGTAACTTGTGTCTTGTGGGCAAAACAATGGGAGCTGCTGCGACTAATCATTGTTCCAACGTGACGCTTGATTCGGCTCGGGACAGTCTGGTGCGGCAGGAAGACACCATTATTTTCAGCCTCATCGAGAGAGCCAAGTTCCCCGTCAACGCCCCATTGTACGCCGCCGCCGGTGATAAATCTACGCCGTTTTCCGGCCCGGGATCTCTTTTCGAGTACTTTGTCAATCAAAGCGAGGCTCTTCAGTCTCAGGTAATGCCATTCATTTTCATGTGTTTTAAGATGGCATGCCACTACCAATACCGTTATTGGTTTTAAAATTGGTGTTTCACTTCTTTCTCCTTATATTGTTGTGAAATCTACCCGAGATATTGTACAGATTTAAGTAACAAAAAAACCTAGGTAAATAAAAATAAAACATTGAACTTATATTGAGTATTAAAATATATGAATTCTTATATTTTTATCTCTTAAGTAAGAGCATGTAATGCCACAACTTGACATTATATGTTGTCAAATCACAATATTTTTTTGGTATTATATATTGACACTCTTTGACATTATAAATCTTACACACTATTTTATTATAAAAACATTAAATGTCCAAAATTTGATTTCAAAGTCAACTAATTTTTGTGAGGTGTAATTGACGGGGATGGGTGGTGGGTTAAGATTGGGCCTTGGTGGTGGAGTTACCAACGGGGTTATGGGGGTAAGAACCGTCAATTTTTTGAATGAAACATCATAAGAACCTCAAACTGGCTCATGTCATAGGATGACATGGGAGTCTAATGTCATGGGAACGCCTAATGATATTAGCCCCCATGACATAGGCCCCGTTTGGGGTCCTTACGTTGCTCCATTCGACAAATTGATGGTTTCTAACTTTCTACCCTCTTACTCTGCCGGTAAATCCCACCATCCCGGACCAACATGAACCCACTCCCTCCCTTGTCAATTACACACACACAATTTAGTTGACTTTGGAGTCAAATTTTAACTCCAAAATGAATTAAATCTTGTGGGATGCAATTAATTCCCAATATCATGGAAACCAAAGGTATTCATATTGGGGCACTACAATGGATCATGTAAATTTGGATAGTGTATATTATATTGTATTTTACACTATGAGTAGTGTTTTAACAATCCAGTTTTTATAGCTACTCCAACCATTTCATGTAATAATGCATATTTATTATATTTTATTAACTTTAAAATATTTATTTGTGATAAATTTTCAAATTTTAACATATGTTTCAAACTACACATGTACGTATTATATTATCATAAAATATGCAATATAAAGTTACTCTAATAATTACATAGAATATATAAATTTACAATGTGTGAATAGCATAGTGTGTTGATATAAGATGAGATTTGCTTTTTATAATATAGTGTTAATTATACACTACCCATTGGCGGCATAGTTATAAAATAGTATCTTGTATATGTATACTCCTTATCTTATACTCCCTCCGTCACCAAAAACTCTTTCTGTTTTGACCTTTTTGGGTCAAATAGTAGCACTTTTTCAAATCTTTGATAGTCTGCATAATTAATCTAGTAGTGTAGTTGTTATCGTTGGCAAAAATCATAACATCATCAGCATATAAGAGGTGAGTGAACACAAGCATATGGAGCTTAGTAAAGGGGACGCCTCTAAGATTAACAAAAACATCCTTCATATTTCTAGAGAAAGCCTCCAAGTGCCTTTTAGGTTATTCAAAATGAGGCTAACAAAATTCCAATGGAAACCAAATCTAAGTAAGACAATGCCCTTAGTACGGTTCGAACATGTGACTTTCCATTTGTGAGACACAATTATGCCGCTCGACCACAATGTCTTTGGCTAGTTTTTGTTTATACTCTCTCAATCCAAAAATTTTCTTCTCGGTTTGACTTACTTGGTCAAAAAATTTAAGCTTTAATTTGACCATAAATTACAAAAAAATACATGAAATTATCACGTAAATATAATATAAATAGATTCATTTGGAGTATAAGTTTATATATCAATAAAGATAGTAATGGTCAAAGTTGTATTGGAGATCGTGGAATGATGAGAAGAAAATTTATAGACGGAGGAGGGAGTAATATTTTATTATACATTGCCTATATAAATAGCATGCATCTCTACTCTGTAAGTTAATGCTTTGAATACAAATCTATTACTTGCATATTTTCTCTTCCTCTTTCATGTCTTTCATAAGCATTTGTGATACTATATTCCCACGGCTACTTTTAATGCTTTCTTTTTAAAATACATATAATAAAAACAGATGGGAAGATATTCATCTAAAGAGGAGCTTCCTTTCTTCCCGAGTCAATTGCCGAAGCCATTTGCGCCGAGCAGTGAATGTGTATCGGTGAGTTGTGTGACTATGTGTGTGCAATTTGTTTAATTTGTGATTTGTGCATGTGACTCTGATCTTTGTGCAATAGCTAATTTAAACCACTTGGTTTGTGGTGGTGTAGTATTTGTATCCTAAGGCTGCCGACGTGAATGCCTCAACCAACGTCAATACCATGATTTGGAGCTTTTATCTCACCGGCATTCTTCACAACTTCACCAAAGCGGGTAGCGATGAAAACTACGCTTCCACGGCTATGGCCGACCTCCTATGTTTGCAGGTATATATGTATTATTACGTACAAAAATGCTAGAAACTCATTAAGTTTGACAACAAGATTTTATATCATCGGGTTATTTTCGCACGCACAATCGTTAGTGAAAAGTGATTGTTTGTGAGACACTAGTTGTGTCTACCTAAGTGTCATCTTTGATATATTTGTAGCACATACGACTCTACACTGACATTTTAGATATATATTTTGGTCAAATTTCTCAAAGGCACTCTCTAGAAGGATTCATTACGGAAGATTTGTTGCTGAGGCTAAATTCAGTAGTGCTCCTGATCAATACAAAAAACTTATTCATGCTAAGGTATGTACAGATTGGAGTATTTTCACCAGAGCTTTTAATAGAAAAGTTCTGGTCAAATTAAAGCATTTTCTGTCTTAAATCAATGCTTCTTTGGATGCAAATGTTTACAGAACAAAGAAGCTCTTGAGAACTTGCTGACAAATAGAACTGTGGAAGCGCAAGTCAAAAATCGAGTGTGGCTGAAAGCCACAGAGTTTGCAAAAGAAGTGACACTCAACAATACTAAGAGTGGAAGTGGAGAGTACAAGATTGATCCCATCCAAGTGTCCAACTTATATGAAAATTGGGTGATCCCTTTAACAAAAAAAGTTGAAGTTGAGTACCTTCTGCGGCGTCTTAATTGACCCAATTAATTGATATTTCAAGACAATGTGGTTTATAGTGTCTTGTTGTAAAACAAAGTACTTTTATTATTTCATGACTCGTATTATGAAATGTTCCACTCTATTTATTTCGAAACATGAAACCCTCATATTTATTTAAGGCATGTTTGATGAGTTTACGAAAGTAGATATCATATGAATTTTGAAATTTGGAAAAGTTGATATGAATTTTAAAAACGGAAATGGAAGTGTTTAAAGAAATCTAAATATGGTTGTTAGATTTCAATGTTTCATACATTTTTAATAAGCGTAGCTCGTGATAAGTTCTGATTCTATCAAGGACCGTCACGGGCCGTGCCTGCCCCTACATCCACTTATCAATAATTATAAATAAATTTACTTCAATAAAACTAGAAGAAGGGAAATTAAAATAAATTATACTTCCTCCGTCCCAAATTATTTGCAACATTTGCTTTTTCAGCAGTCGCGGAAACTTTTGTTTATTTCTATGTTTTCATTGGTTATTTGATAAAATAAAATATTCTTGACACCTCTTATTTCGAAGAATTTTTCATGTAGTTTTTTGATATGTAAATTTTATTTTTTATCTCTATACCAATATGTAAATAAAATGAATTGAAAAAATTTGATATTTTGTTTCGGGAATACAAGTGTGGCAAATATTTAGGGACGGAGGGAGTAGTTAAAATTAATTTGGACTTTGTGATATGGAGTTCTTTTATTATTTACTTAACAGGGAATTTTGTAAATTGCAATTATTTATAGAGTATTTTTGTATATTCTTTAAATTTTAACTCAAATTCTCAAAATTTTGAGTAGATTATTACGCTTTATGTTTTAACCTTGCATCTTTTACACTTTTGCATTTATCAAATATGAAATCAATATTCTTTTACTTTGTATTTTAGCTTCTTAATTTATCAAATTATTCTCCTCGCTTAATAGGCCTAATATTTTTAATAAACTTTTAGGCCTCCCATATTTTTGAGCATTAGGCCATGAATCATCTGATATTCAAATACATGATATTCTTCTCTCATAGCCATAAATCTCAACATCTTTCTTAGGGTCCTTTTAGAAACTTGGAAAATAACTTATGGAAAATGACGTTCGTGAAAATAAGTCGTTTCTCTAAAGTCATTTTCCTTTTTTTGATGTTTGGCTAAAAGTTTGAAAAGGGTCTATTTCTATTAGTTTCACTTTCCATACTCAATTTTTTTTACATGTTCAAATTTTTAAAGTGCATCTCACATCAAAAGTTCAAGATTGTAGAAGAAATATTTTCATTGAATAATTGTGTAGAGGTTGCATCAATATATAGTAGAGGCTTCAATCCTAATCATAGTAGGAGAGCCATAATAGGAAGTCTATACAGGTATGGTAACATATTAATTACAAAAATAGTAAATATAATTAATATATTTAGCATGCTCCCGGCTACGTCGGATGTGGAGGAGGTCAAATTCCCAGGCTGGATTTGAACTCGAGGAAGAGCAGAGATGGCAATCCTTTGGTGAATATGTCAACATACTGGGAAGAGGAAGGCACATGAAGGACGCGAACCTGACCGAGTGCAACTTTGTCGCGGACAAAATGTATGTCGACCTCCACGTGCTTGGTCCGCTGGTGCTGCACTGGATTGGATGAAAGATAGACGGCGCTGATGTTGTCGCAAAACACGAGAGTGGCACGTCGTAGGGGATGCTGAAGCTCAAGGAGAAGATTTCGGATCCACGAAGTTTCTGACACGGCATTGGCCACAGCTCGGTATTCAGCCTCTGCACTGGATCGGGAAGTGGTGGCCTGGCGTTTGGACGACCAGGAGACCAGATTGTCGCCCAAGAACACGCAGTAACCGGAGGTGGAGCGTCGAGTGTCGGGACAACCGGCCCAGTCCGCATCAGAATAAGCTTGCAAAAAATCCGTATTGGATCGTGTCAAGTGAATGCCATGGGTGGCCGAACCACGAAGGTAGCGAAGAACGCGCTTCATGACCGTGAGATGTGCGTCTCTAGGTGCATGGAGATGAAGGCACAGCTGCTGGACGTCGTATGTGATGTCCGGTCGAGTGAAAGTGAGGTACTGCAGGGCTCCAACAACGGATCTATACAGCGTCGGATCTGGGAGTGCCGTACCAGCTGATGAAGAGAGTTTCGTCTTGGTGTCCACTGGCGTAGAGATGGGGCGACAAGAGACCATCCCTGCCCGCTCCAGGATGTCGTGGGTAAACTGAGTCTGATGGAGGAACATCCCATTAGTGGGTGTGCGATGAACATTGATGCCGAGGAAGAAATGCAAGTCACCCATGTCTGTCATGGCAAACTCAGCCTTGAGTTTCTGAATGATGCTCTGAAGGAGTGCAGAGGAAGAGGCAGTGAGAACTATGTCGTCAACATATAACAGGAGGTAGGCTGACCCCGTGGTATGAGAGAAGACGAATATGGATGTGTCAGATTTGCACCCGTGGAACCCAATAGTCTAAATGAAACCTGCAAATCTGTGATACCATGATCGAGGAGCCTGCTTTAGGCCGTAAAGAGCCTTTTTGAGCTTACAGACATGATGAGGGCGATTGGCATCCTGGAATCCAGAAGGCTGGCTGGCATACACGGTTTCCTGAAGCTGACCATGGAGGAATGCATTTTTGACATCGAGCTGATGAATGGGCCAACCCCGAGACAGGGCGAGGCTAAGGACGATGCGGACAGTGGCAGGCTTAATAACAGGGCTGAACGTTTCACCGTAGTCGACCCCAAAACGCTGATTATAACCGCGAACAACCCATCGGGCTTTGTACCTAGTTAACTCACCTGTAGG